CCAACGTAAATCCATTATTGTCCCTATGAGACCCTATCAGAACGGAGTATAAAGAGCTAAAAAAATCTGCGCAGGGCGGGTGGGAGAGGAGGATCGACGGGTTAAAGATACACTGGAAGTATATTTTGTAAGGACACTCAACATGTAATGAGTGGAAACAGACATGCCATCCGTGAGTGCAAAACTTACCCTAGAGGGGTACCTAGAGTGTCATTGTATGAAGAGTAGTGTTGGAGTTTGATTTATCATAATAGCCCCATGGATTATATCTATTTGTTTAAATATATCTAAATGTTTGAAACTCACATATATGACATTCGCATATTGAGAATAGTGTGAATATAGTGTGGTCTGAATGGGTCAACATACAGCCTGTTTGCCTTAATAAGGATCAAAGTATCTTGTCGAAAAAAACTACTGAGGAGGCGTAGCAGGCGCATGGTAAGGCTGTCTTTACTACTAAAGAGTCATAGCAGGTGTGTGGTAAGGCTGTCTTTACCACTAAAGAGGCATAGCAGGTGTGTGGTAAGGCTGTCTTTACTACTAAAGAGGCATAGCAGGTGTGTGGTAAGGCTGTCTTTACTACTAAAGAGGCAAAGCTGGAGTGTGGTAAGGCTGTCGTTACTACTAAAGAGGCATAGCAGGTGTGTGGTAAGGCTGTCGTTACTACTAAAGAGGCATAGCAGGTGTGTGGTAAGGCTGTCTTTACTACTAAAGAGGCATAGCAGATGTGTGGTAAGGCTGTCTTTACTACTAAAGAGGCATAGCAGGTGTGTGGTAAGACTATCATGGAAATGGCAAGCGAAGGTCGTTCGGGCTGTGAAAGAACAGCTGATCTGTGATAAAAAAGATTCACGTTATGCTGGGCGGCATCAGGAAAAGGCTTTCAACTCCCACTAGAAAGATAAAGCTGACCATGACACATTGGTACATGCAATACACACATTAGAAACCATACGAACATAACTCACACCCACGTGACAGGAGAAGGGAAACGGAGGAAGAGCTTACAAGGGCAAAAGCGATGTCAGTCCCACTATATAAGACTATGTAAGAACAGAATAAATCATTTTTCGGAGAATGACTCGGGTTGTGTTCTTTGCTTGAAGAATAACCTCTATTGCATTAAATTCTGTCTGATTCCAGTGCTTTCTTCAAAGATCATCAGGACACCAATAGGTATTAAGTATACAATAGGAATAGAGTTGGGGAGCAGTAGTTTAGACTCAAGGACACTTCTACATGTGGACAGGAGGAACCAGGGCTCAAATTGTCAACCCTGCAGTTAAGTGTCAATTAAATGTTAATAGTAAATAGACTTGTACTTGTGTCATGCTTTTCTAGTCTTCTGACCACTCAAAGTGCTTTTTACACTAGATGACATTCACCCATTTACACCCATTCATACACTGATGGCAAGGGCTTCCATGCAAGGTTCCACCTGCCATCTGTCCACTGTCTAACCATTCATACCTACAGTGGTGGGCCGTCAGGGCCTTCAAGGCCTTCCCTGCTGGCCTAAACAGAATCACAAAGTTATAGCTATTTTATAATTTAATATTTTTTCAGAAATACACTACATGTATTATAATTTATAAAAATATTTTTCCCATTATCTTATTTTGTCATTGCACAGCTACTGTCTTCCTCAGTTGCTCTGCTTCCAGTGCAGCTTGTTTTAAGTAGAGCTTTTATCCAATCAGATTTCACCCCTGTTTCTCTCGATAAGAAGAGAGGCCCGAGGCCTGCTGACTCACAAGTGAATCCCTTTGCAGTTTAAGTGAATGGGAACGATACTGTTGATTGTCATAGTCTTCAATCAATCAGATCTTTAGTTTGACATGTTGGGCGTGTTCTTTGACGTGCCAGAGCCTTCTAGCTGGCCTACAACTACGTCAGCATTAACAGCTGACAGCGTCAGAGAAGCGTTGCACATTTTATGGCTGGGAATGTGTTTCATTTTAACTGAGCGTCTTGGTGTTTGGAGCTACGCTAACCTGAGGACACCATAGCACGGCAGGACACAAGCTAGGGTGCTTTTGAAAACTTTTGGAGAGACTCTAGGGCAGGGGTCTCAAACTCATTTTCACTCCGGGCCACATCAGCATCATGGTCGCCCACAAAGGGCCGGTTGTAAATGTAACTACTCCTAACATATTGTTAAATAACTCTCTGCATTTGATTATTGTTTATTCAAGTGTACAAATATTGTACGTGCAGTTATATAATTGTAAAAATATATTTAAGCACATTTCTGTTATTATAAATTAAACCCTTTTAATTTAGGGTTAAGAAACCCACATTACTCTATCAAAGATCAAACTATTAAAGAAAATAGCAAAGACAAATATCAAACAAGTTATTAAAATAACTTTCTTCAAAGCTTAAAATCCTTTCAAGGGTGCGTTTGCACAATCCCACGTGAAGTATTTCATGTTAAAGCCACGTTTAAAGTAGTCTTCAATGTACTCACAATACATTTCCATGTCAAATGTACAGTAACCAGCCAAAGAGCTGCTTCTGTGACTGTGTGTTTAAGTATCTCATCATTATGACTTTCAATCTCATAATTTTGACTTTCTATCATAGTTATGACTTTCTATCTCATAACTTCGACTTTCTATCTCATAATTTCAACAATGGGGATATTTTTATTATCAAGTCTAACTTTAAAAAAAACAATTTAATTTTCTTTTTTTTTTAAACTTTTTTTTTTTTTTTTGCTGGCGGATTTGCGGGCCACATAAAATGACGTGGCGGGCCGGATTCGGCCCGCGGGCCGGGAGTTTGAGACCCCTGCTCTAGGGGATCTACAACTCAACGAACACTTTCGCAGGGAAACAGCTCCGCAACCGAGTCCCGGTGTGCGGTCTGCGGCGGCCAGCAGGCGCCACGGCGGAGGTGGGATCCCGGTTCCGCTGTGAAACGGCCGCCGCAGACTGCCGAAATACAACTGGGGAGGCTCGACTGTCACTGACATCCATGAATCGAGAAGGACGTCTTACTGGAATTGAAATGATGTACGTGGGATTAAACTCTTTAAAAAGAAAGGAGGATGGAGTTTGTCTTTAAGTGAACAGCATTCGGTAAGTGACAAACTGCGTTTGGTTTTTACATCTGCAGTAACGTTACTACTGTTCATTTGTCTATCGTGTCGTTTTTACGAATAATATTTGAATGGCTCGTGCTCTTGTGTGGTGGAATGTGTGGATCTGCTGCAGGTTTGCTAGATTGATGTGTCATAATGAGGTTATTAGGAGGTAATTCAACTGTAGTAGGACAGCACAGAAGGCCCAGGAATAAAATGCACAGCCCGCCACTAAATACCCATTCATACAGCCTATGGGAGCAATTTAGGGGTCAGTGTCTTGCCCAAGGACACTGTGTTCATACCACGAGTGACAAATCAACAGTCTACAACTAATTTTCAATGGAAGGCTACAAAGTGACGCCCGACACTTGTCGCTGCTTGACAGTGTGATGCGCTACAAATCAAAGTTGAACATTTTTCAGCACTCCAATGAAGCTTCACCCAATCATGTGTTTTAGTTTCCCCATTTCCTCTCCCTTTCTCCTCTCCACAATTCCTGTTCTGTCGAAAAAGTATAAAGGCAAATCACTGTCAAAATCCAAGAGCGCAAATGAGATCCATGTGCGCGCGAAAATCAATCAGCCGGTCTTGGGATAGACCGGATATCACTCTGACACAGACGCTAGGTCTGATAGAGGTGGTTTTCAATCCGCCACTAAACACTACTCCACTACATCTCAGGATGTTCTACATTTGTCTGACAGGTTTTGTAAACTTTTCAGACTGTAGAGGCTGATGAAATACAAATTATGTTAATAGAGGTGTTAACAATTGAGGTGAGCAACAATTTGGACCTGCTCAAAGATCTGGAGCCAAGATTAGGGACCACTGTTTGTATATTAACTTTTAAATCACTGACAAGTAGTTAGTGGATGAAAAAGTATTCAGATCCTTCACTGCAGTAAACGTACTAATGCCATACTGATGAAACAATAATCCACTACGAGTAAAATACCTGCATTCAAAACCTTAGTCAATGTTATTATCAGCAAAATGTACTTTAAGTGCAGAAAGTAAAAGTACCCGTGCAGTAAAATGTACATTATTTTCCCCTGACCTGCAATCTGAAAATCTCCCCCTAGCGTCTGTGTCAGAGTGATATCCGGTTTATCCAAAGACGAGGATTGTAACCAATTAGATGTAGAGATACAATGGCGACTGGGTCCGCCCACTTACTGCCAAAAAGAAAAACTGCTCGCGAGCGAGCAGGTAAAAGACTCGCTCGCGAGCGGGTTGAAGCTTCGCGAGTGACTTTTGCTCACGCGAGAGTGAATTCTGCTCGCGCGAGACGATATTTTGCTCGCGGAGTGATGTAAAAGCGCTCGTCAAAGTAAAATACGTGCGCGGCTGTTTGATTTTCGCGCGCGCATGGATCTCATTTGCGCTCTCGGATTTTGACAGTGATTTGCCTTCATAAAAAAGTGGAAGAAGATGTGTCTTGCCATTAGCCAGGTCCCATTACTATTTAATAAAACAACTACATCAACCAGTGAAGGAGCAACACTACAATGGCAACTCTGCGACAACATAGCTGGCTGTGCTTAGCTGTTTGGTAGCTTTGTCGCTCGTATGGTGAAAATAGCATTAGTGTTAGTGCCACTCAGGCACACCATGATGGAATAAAACTAGAACTACTGTTTCGCGGTTGTATGCCTCCACCAATCACTGAAGTTGTAGTTTACATCCATGTCTCACCAAATTGTCATCATTTTATCCTATTAGACATTTGTGTGAAACACACGAGAATGCTACAGACAGATGAACAACCCAAAAACATAATGGCTATTGTGTGCGCTGAGTCATAAAACATGATTTTGGCTATCTAGTTACCAAAATGACACAGGTTCAAATTAGTTGAATCTTAACTATTTAAAAATTCTAAAAAGATTTGACCAGAGTGGGTACTTACAGGAGGAGAAGATGTGTCTTTTCCAGCCCAGGCAGTCAAGACCAATGGGGGTGCTCTGAGAGAAGCAGTGGGCTTTGAGGGGCATACCCCGGAAGGCCTCAATGGGCCCCAAGATGACTCCAGCATCGGTCTGTGGGATTGAAAGATGATTATTTCAAGTCACGGATATTATCACCGACTGTCTGCTAATGATGACCTCGACATGAACCCGTGAACAACAATCACTCAATCAATACAACTGAGTAAAATGCAATCGTAAAATAAATGAATAGAAGAAGAATGGTGATAAATAAATGAATGTAAAGAAGAGTGGAAATTAGGAGGCCATGCCTGAAACAGAAAGTTTAGTGATAACAGGCTTCATATCAAAGATAACCTGTCAGAAACCACCAGAGAGAAACAGACTGTGCAGGAGGAATGGAAACTCAGAAGCAAGGCAGAGAAGGGAGAAGATGAGTATTACAAAGACTTCCAAGGTTTGGATCTTTGCTTTGGCAGCTCATGACGCTGGGGCCACATCTTACTTTGTCCATGTCCTCAGATAACAGTGTGTTGAGTTGTCCCAAGCTCCCCCCGATGGCTCTGGCCAGTTTGCATTTGTTTTTCTTTTGCTCTTCAAACCAGATGTCGTCTGAAAATGTTCGTCTTCGCTGCTGGCCACCGCCATCAAAGCCCACATCCATCCAGCAGCCAGTCCTCAGCCCACCAAGACCCACAGAGGCCTTCCCTTCAACCTTCAGCTCCAAAAGCCTTCTTGATCTGGACTGCCTGGCATCGCATTGCGTGCCCTTTTGAGTGCACAGTTTACTGGTTAGTCCCAGTCACCGTTTTCTATAACAACTCCACTCCCGTTTAGTCCCCCAGGTACAGTGCAGGACTGTGGCTACTTTTAACTTTAGTTTGCGATTGTAACTTTGGATACAGGACCGTCAAGATTATCAAAGGAACGTATTTGTATAATATGACATGAGGATGGACATTATTTATACTTGGACGGCACTTCCATTCACTGAAATAGAGCTGGTTAGTCAATCCCCACAATCTCACAGTTTCAATGTACTGGCTATAAGTTTGTCATTGTATTGCATTTCCATGCAGAGAGTGCTCACACAGCAAGGTTCAGACCTGTGGTAGCGTAAACGATGAAACCAAACCAAAAAATTTAAAATCCGGTTTCGTGGCTGTAAAGTGTCTTTCCCCCAAATCTCTTGGGGACTTCCACTATACCTTTTTTCATTTATTTCAACAGAAATGAATTTGCACTGCCAAGATTCCAAAATAGCTGATTCTATATTTCATAAAATAAGCTGTATTCCACAAATACTTGAAAAGGAATGAAAAGGCAAAAGGGAACAAATAACCGATTAAATGTAATAATCCACACTGACTGTGACACGTGCATGACATGAGCACATCAAGGGACTCGCTGTGTTTTTCTTGATCTCTCTTGCTGAGTTCTGAAAGTATTAATGGCGTCTGCAAAGATTGATGGAGGTTCCAAACGTCATGAGCATTCCAATTTTACTGTTTGGAAAGAAGACCAGTGAATCAACAAATAAAACCAAGGCTGTTTTCTTCCTGTATAATCCTCACGCAGCCTACTGGAAAACTAATTTTATCTAGCAAATGTGTGATATTAGTCAGCCTGGTGAATATAATTTGGCCAGCCACTGCACTTCAGGAGCTGTGCTGCTAAAACAACAGCAGATTTTTAACACAGAGTCGCTGGCTGATATTATTGGCCAATCTAAGCATATTGCAGTTGTGATGGTGTATTACAAGGCAGTAAAGAATAAAGATACTGTTGACGTCATTCAGAAACAGTCTCCTTTATGGACATTCTTGATCAAGGCCCTTCCTGGCCTTCCTGAAAGAGTGATTATTGCTCTCCACAAAGCTACCCTCTGTATAAATAAAGGTTTAACAAAATAAAAAAAGTTTCTCCACCAGAGAGCACTGACAAGCCTATTTTTCCACTGTAACATGTCTGCTCAGTACAAATCGTGATCACACTCCTTTAATAACTACAATTCATTTTTTAAATGTCTGTTTATGTTCAATATTCTGAGATTAAATAGTATCAGGCGGGCTAAACTCTCTATATAACAATTTTGTGTTTTTAACCACTACCTGAATTATACTTCAATTTCATCTTGCCACTGCATAAATCAACTCTGAAAATGCATGCATTTTTTAATGTCTGTTTGTACAGTTGTACAGATCTTTTTAAAGTGGAGAAGTAGTAGTGAACCGGACAAAGGTATGAGAAAAATAATGGTTATTTAGATTAACTGCTTGATTAGGTCACCCACTTTATTTTAGCTGGAGGGAATCTAAGCTTTATGTAGGGACACAAAGCAATCCCTGCCTTTTTGATGAGACATCATTTAGATAAGATAACTCTAAACAAATTAACTGCTTAAGGTCAAAATCATATTATTGTTATTTTTTGCCAGATCACACTTCAAAGCAATATTTTTTTTTATCAGATTGAACATCAAATGGCCGGATTCCACAAGGGGGAGCTAATCCTCAAATTATCCTGCTCTGGTTGTGTATCACAAGACAATTGTAAGCACTGCCAGGGAGGTGGGACTATGGTAACCAGCTAACTCAGACAATGGAAATCTACCAAACTGCTGGGGGCTGAGAATGAGCAAGAGTTGACTCTCCTGTTCTTCTTTACAGAGAGTCCAAAAGAAAGAGGGACTTGTTCTCTGTCCCAACTCAGATACTGACAATCACTGGCTACCACCATGACACCTACACACACAAACACGCTCGTCTGCAGAGCAAGAGATTAACTGGTGTTGGCTTTTTTTGCCTTTTCATTCCAAGCCAGAGCTAGTGTGTGTGAGTTGTAGGCAGGGAAGAAACAGTTTTCCCAGGGAGTTGGAACCTCATTGCCATTTCAATTGAGGCCTGAATAAGCCTGTTTTATCTATACAACCGTTTAGGGATGTCTAACATACAAAAAAGAAGGGCATTTACAACATTTACACACACAAAAAAAACATTGTTACTTATTATCAAGATTATAATTTACATATCAAAATGTTACACATTTCTATTTAAATTTTACAAAAATCTGCTCTGTGCGTGACAAACTAATGTTCCTTACCTGTAATTCGTTGATAGAGCCAATGGCATACAGGCTGATGTGTGAGTGGCTGTCTGCTCTGCCTTCAGCTGCATCCAAAGGACTGAGGCAAAGACCCAGAGGGCTAGCTGATGGTTTAAGGGTCTTAGGTCTCTCTGGGGGGTCTGTTAATCCCTCCACGCTTACCAACTGTCCCAGAAGGATAGGACAGACTGAACTGGCCCTTGGTGAGAGGGGGTAGCAAAAATGTTTACGCTGAGCTGCTGGCCTTGGACTGTTAGGTTTAGGGCTCATTGGCCGAAGGGGGCTCTTAGACAAGCCCTCGCTGGCCACTGGGTGCGACCTGGCCCAGGATGGCGAAAATGGATGAGTATGGGTGGCTAGTGAGTAGGAGCTTAAAGGTGAAATAGGGCTGGTGTGATTTGGCTGTGGGACTGCAGTGTCATCTGAAAAGGGAGGTAGGCCAGACATACACAGTGGGGTAGGTAGACCATTTGGTGAACATTTTCTTCTCTGGCCCTCCGATTTACACCCATGGGGGATTTCCTTTCCCCTTCCTTGTGGAACTCCCCACTTGGTGATGGAATCAGTGTGGGGAAGGGCTCTGAGGGAGGACGGTGACCCTGGACTGTCCAGGAGTGGAGAAGATGGTATGTCTCCACAGCCACGCCTAGAAGCTGTGTTGCTACATTCCCCATCTGGCACTGAACAAGTTATTTTTAGCAGCTCAGCCTCCTTGGTCTTCTTTGGCTTCCTCCAGGATCGTTTGGCTATACCAAAATCCATGTCAAAGCCCACAGTAGCCTGCTCCTCATTCTCCTTATCCATTGAACGGGACTCAAACAGGCTGGAAAGGGACTTGTGTGCTTGTGCAAAGTGAATGTGAATGTTTAAACTGTCATTACTCTTGCTCCTCTTGTAGGTCTGCCGATTAGGTGACTGGACTTGCCTGAGGAAGGGGTTGTCTGGGCTTGGTCCTTCATTACCCTCACCACTACTCCTTTGGCCGACTAGCTGATGGACATGACAAGTGTGGGGAGTAGAGGGGGATAAGCCGTAGTCCTCTTCTTCTATCTCGTAATGCAATGAGGAAAATGTTTGGGGGACTGTTTGGTTGAGGATGTCACCTTTGTGAAAAAACTCATCATCTGAGTTGTCCCTCTGTGCCCCTTGCTCAGACAGAAGGCACTCTCCCCCATCTGATGACTTCTGGGGTACCTCCTCACTCTTGGCACCCTTTGAGCCCTTTGCCTTCCTAAAAGAAGGCATTTTAGCAAAGACAGAAAACGTAGAGCCTTTATTTCCTGTCTGGTTGCCTTTTGTTTTGCTTCTCTTGGTAATTTTGTCAAGGTTGGCCTTTTTGGCTGGAATAGCAAAGTGAGGATCCTCCAACTCATCGCTGGTGTAAGACACAGCATCATAGGCAACAGTCATAGGTCGACAGTGCTCTTGGCCACTACCACATAGAACAGGTGTTGCTGGATTCACCTCAGGTTCTATCTCAGCAGTGAAAGATACCTCTTCCTGCTCAGGCAGGTGGTGTGGACTCTTGGAACTGGATATGTCCACTGAAAGATTGGCAATATCACCAACTCCCTCAGCAGGCCTTATGACATTATATTCTTTCTGTGTTTCTATTTTAAAATCATCCTCTGTTACACCACAATTTTCTGGTGAATGCTCAGCCTCCAAAATTGGCTCTAAACTACTGACAGCAAGCAGGTTGAGGCTGACATCAGGGTGTGAGTACCTTACTACCCTCACCTCTTGCTGTGGAGCTGGCAATCTGAACTGTGTGTGGTCTCTACACTCCTCAGCCATTGTATATTCTTCAAATGATTCGCATAGGCTGGCTCTTCTTCTGTTAGGTAAGCTGTGACCCCTTGGTTGGCTACAATAGTGCCCCTCTCTCTCATTGAATTCGCTTTCCATTAATAGCCCTCTGCTCTCTGAACATAACACTAAGGGTCTTTCTGAGTTAGAGCACTTGCACTTTAGACTTAAGACAGTGTTATCCTCAATACCATTTTCTCTCTTTAGTTTTTCTAGCTCATCTGCATGAGCCAGACTTAAATGGCTGTGGCTTTCAAGGTTTTTCCCAGGCACAGATTCAGTGTCCTCACTGCTCCAGTTGGGTCCTTGGTCAATTGAAGACAGGAACACCTCCAAATCTTCCTGGGACTTATCTATATCTTCCAAGGAGTTAGTGGTCACATTTGTTGATGGTTCAACCACGGGACAAATTATTCTCTCATTACTTTCGTAGTTTCTCTGGGTTCCCTGTGAGAAATAGCCTAGGCCCTCACCTCTCCCCACTCCATTTATACTGGCCTTGGTGTTATTGTTGGAGTCTGAGAGCAGAGACAAAGAGACATTCAGGCCACAGGGAGGTTCAGGGATATTTAGTACCAGCTGAACTTGCTTACAATGACTGGACATTTTGCTGACAGTAGTTTGTATGTTTGTCTTGGAAATGGCCTTTTGAGCTATGTCTGGGTGTTCTCTACTACTGTCCTGAATGGACTCCTGGTCATGATAAACATGACTACTCTCCACCTCCTGCTGCTTGTTTTGCAAAATAAGAGAGCAGGGTGATCCTTCCCTCCTCCTCTCTCCTCCACAGTTCTCTGATAACAGAGTGGATGTATCCTCTGCTTCTTGGTTCGACAATGGGTGATGAGACAGAAATTCCTCAGAATCCTTACCAGTATCAGATTGGATTTGAGTTGAATCAGTTCCTGGTTCCCTCTCCAAAAGCTTGTCCACAGAATGGAGTTGCATATGAGTGGGTATTTCCATCATAGCACCCCCCTGATCAAAGTGATTGGGAATTAAACCATGCGTTGGACCTGGAACTTGCCATGGTTGTAACCTTGCTCCCTGAGGTTGTTTTTGATCTGGTTGCCTGTCAGTGAGCTCTTTCCTATCTGAGTCTGCCAACAGGACAGTTGAGGATAGTGTAGAAACCTTTGGAGCCACAGTCAGCTCAGTAAAACAGGTATCCAATGAAAAAGAGGCTGTGGTCTCTGTGGAAAATGTAATGGAGGAACATATTTCATTTACTGTCCCAGGTGGCGTTATCCCCTCTGTTGTAGTACAAACACACCCAAACTGCTCCTCCTGAAAGCAGACATCCGACACCCTTGCCTTATCCTGGGGCTTTGTAGCTATAGTACAAACCTGAGGGTGGATCTCTGACAGTCCTCTGTTGGAGCTGTCTTCACACAGAGTTTGTGAACGGCAAATATCCAACTTGTCTGCCATTGTACTGACTGTATTGAGTGTGTCTCTGAGCTTTGCTGACTTTGTGTTATGTGACACACTATTTGTATTTGCGCTTTGTGCTTCTGTGATGTTTGGACTTGCTACAACAATATCTGTAATTAACTGAGGGTCTGTGTATTTTGTCTCAGTATATGTACAAGAGCACGCTCGAAATCTGTCGGGTATTTGTGCATTTAATAGGTCGGTGAAATGTGTATCAGATATGCATGTGTTGTCTTTACAGTTACTCACTATTTTGTGATCATTTCCATTAAAATATGTCCCCACACTCGGGCACAAGTCCCTTTTGTCCTTGTCCACTTTTTGAGCCTGTATGTCTTTGTCTTCATTGATTATATGCCGGTGTTCTAAATGGTCTCTCTGTCTGTAATGTCTATCATTATTGTCGCTATTGCATCTATTCAAGCTTGTATTTTTCTTTACAGAGTAAGTTCTGAGTAAGTCAAGATTCTCTAAGTCTACATCCTGAACTTTACAGATTTCTAATCTTTCTCTGTCTGTCTTCTCTAAGTTTTTACTTTCAATGTTTCCTGTCTGTAAGCTTGTGCTCTGCCTGTGTCTGATTTGCTGTTGTGTCTCCACAATGTTGTCCTCTGTGGTATCTAGATGTATTATGCATGTTTCTGAGTCTGTAGATTCATTCAGTCTGATGGGATTGCTTTTTTCAGGTTGTAAATGCAATTTCTCTTCCGGAGTGTCTAGTGGATTATTTACCTTCTTGTCAAAGGTGTCTGTGTTATGTTGGCTTTGTACATGTAAACTGTATGAATCCGTGCTAACCTTGACTTGAATTTCTTTGCAAACAGCCTTTAAACTGGACTGTTCATTGTGCAAGTCTTGTTTTAGTTCCTCTGTTCTTGGACAGGGTCGAATTTGAACTGAGCACAGGTCTCTAGTGCTGAGCTTGGAGGGAATATTAAGGTTCACATAGCTCTCTGGGCTTTTCCTCCTGCTACATCTAAATCGTCCAACATATGTCTCTGTGGCATCTCTGTGGTCGTCCTTGGCCGTCACTGACTCTCTCCATCTGTTTTTTCTCTGCCCTGTGTGGAAGGTGCGGCCTGTCGCTCGCCGACCAAGGCAGGTCTCCTCAAGACCTAGCAAAGCATCCAGAGAGTCTTCCCCGTCCAGACTAAAATCTGTCAGAGTGTCGCTGTGCCAAGAGTTGGAGTCAAAATACTTTGCAGAAGTGTCACCCTTTCCTTTTCCTCTCTCACGCCATTCCAGGGGGTCAGCTCCCAAATCCCCTTCCTCTAAGCCTAATCCGTCAGAGAGGTGGGGGGAGTGTTCAAGAGCTTCCTGGGGCTGTGGACACAGTAAAGAAGAAGAGTGTGAGATCAAGTGGGTCGAGCACAACGCTAGTAAGAATCTCAAAGCTGATCCTCATACAGCCACTGATGAGCCATCATTTAGAAGGCAATATGTAAAGTATTGACTTTAACCCTCAGTTAGTCAACTAAATCAACAAGTTCAAAGATATACAATATATAAATGTACTCACATTTTTGTAATGAAATATCAATTATAAATTATACTATCGCTGCTTGTGAATATTCTTTTGTTCACCTTTTCAAAGTGGATTTAAGGGAATTAAATTATTTTTGGACAAATATGACATATACTGAGAGACAGAGTTGCTAGGAGACACTGTCAGAATGCTGTACTGTATAGACTATAAGGGGTTAACTTCCACAACAACCATTTGCAACATTACTTTAACCTAAGTTTGCACTCCACTCAGAAAGTGGAAGCTAGTTAACCTAGCTTGCTAACGTTAGCATTCATTTCCACTAGACTTTACTCTGTGCTTGCTATTTCAACACTTGTACTGTACGTAACTCGGTATGTTTATCTTTCATTAAAACCATAGGATAATGCATGGAGTCATGGAGTGGCACTGCTAAGAAAGCAGAAGGGGAGCAACATTGGCCTCCTAGCTTAATAACTGCTTGTTTAGTTGAAATTAAGCATAATATTAACCATTATACTGCCCACCCACACAGATATTGCACCGGTCAAATTATAGTAATAGAGTTAGTTGGAACCACAAAATCATTGCAACAAATTGTTTTGATGATTACAATTTTGACCTAAGAACACAAGTCAGAACACACAAGAAGATATACACTGCAAAACCGTGTTACAGGTGACACTGTTTCTGAAACAATCACAAATGTTCTCCATACAAGTTGTTCTCTATATCTCTCTCTATATATATATATACATACAGTAAATATATATGTATATATTTATGTAAATGTCAACATTTTACTTACTCTCCAGTGCTTCAATGCATCAGCTGTATCCAGCACCAGAGCACATAGGCGAGCAGAAAACCAGCTCAGCACTGATCCCAGGGCGTCCCACATGCATACGCTCACACACATGACCACACAGCTCATACACACAGTCCCAGGGTCTCCTGTTTTCTGATACTACATGCCTGTAGCTTCCCTCTGCACTCGTCCTCTTTTGTGTTTGTGTTCATCTTCCTTGATCATCAATCGTGCTTGAGCCAAATCTTCCACTACAGATTCATCCCTTTCTCTATCTACCTGCAGTGACTGGCCTTAACATAATGCCTTACAGCCAGATAACTGTACACACAGGCAGAAGCAGATCTTCCCTTTCCATTGCATGTCTAAGATGTGGTCCTTTTACAGTAGACAGGATTAATCCAACCTCAAGACAGCAGGTACACAGTGAACGCTGTGTCTCAATAACGAGGAAAGACATTTAGAAGCCCTGCTATAAATACAGAGCTGCAACTTGTGGCAGTGCAGGGTGCATGACAACTTAACTCAAGGACAAGTAACCTTAATGCAAGCTAACTCAAATCACATTAGGATTTAGTCTGCACAAGACCTTATCAAACTAAGTTGTTGATCAAACTGCCATACTTGATCATAGAGTGTTTCAAATAGCATTCAATCACTATACACTAGCTCTCCTATGTATTTTCTCTCTGTGTTCTAAATTAATTGTCATTATGTCTAAACTGTAAAGTATATATGGAATATGAGTAATAACCCATGATAGTAAAGATTCCGTTTAGAGTTCTTAAGATAAACAGTTCTATATTTCTATAATTTATTTGTAATTAAAAAAAACATGACATTACTAGAGTTCAAAGTAAACCAGTAAAAGTAGTGCCATTATCTTTCAAACAGTAGGCCACATATTAAACATCTGGAGAAATCCATTTCCATTAATGATAGCAGAATTAGTTAAAAACAATCACCACTCATCTCTACTTACTTATTTGTTGGAGCACATTTGACCTTGAGTTAAGAATGCTTTGTCAAGTGCTGTTGGTCAAGGTCAAGAATAAACTGTATGTTTTTCTCTTTTACCAGCTTGGGGTTATTGCCTCACCTTGTAGATGTGAATGAGTTGGATGGTTTTTGTCCTCATATATTTACTATGGGACCATCTGAAATGTTTCTCGCAGGTAGATTGACAGAAAAGCAGCACTGCTGGCTTTTGGGCTACTGTAGTATCTATTTAGGAAATAAACGACCGGAAAATAAGGATTGAAAATGTATCCGGCTAACCACTGAAACTGATGCATCGATGCTGACTGGGCTCTATTCTATTTTATTCACTCTCTGACCTTTTGTTAAGATGACAGAGGTATTCAACTACTATTTTCTCCTATAAATGATCTATGTTTGCTTGAAGAAGTATATTTTGTCATAGTTCACAATGCTTATTGGTTCATTCAACCAATATTTTACAATCGATAGCAGAGGACTCTATATTGCTTGGCAGACATGTTGGTCTTAGTTAGCGGCAGTGATGTACTGTTCATTATAGTGTACACATAAGTAATGATCCACTTTGATGAGAGATGCAGTAGTTATAAAGTGATACATCAACATACCCAACCCTGACCCCCATCAGCCTGAAGGGATCATATGCTCATTCACAAAGTGGCTGCTGCTGTTTTCTGCTAATTAATTAGAGTTGAGTGTCTTAAATAAGCTTAAAGGCTTAGCAGAGCTCCCTTTCTAGCAGATAGTAGAGTGGCTGATTACGACACAACCCTATGACTCTTCAGCACAGTAATCCAAGCATACGTGGTCCATGGTATTATCCCTGTAGCAGGCAGAGCCTGCACTTCTGACTGAGCACAATAACTGAGAGACCCTCTCTATAGAACCAACAACTCTATAGGACTCACTGAACTGGAAAATAGAAGCTCTCATTTTACTGCCTGTATAAACTAACATGTAAACTGAAGAGTGGGCCATTGTAGAATTTGTTCTTAATGACTCGCCTGGTTAGGCTGAGTTGTTTATCAGTGGCCCTCTTCCACCAGTCAGAGGAGGAGATGAAGGATTCAGCAGGCTGTTTGCACTGAACAAATGGCTGTCAACTGCATGTACTGACCAGTCAGTACATTTTATCAACAATTTCTACCTTTTCTGGGAGCGCAGACATCTTTTTAAGGCACATGAAGTTTAAAACTGTTTACCTCTAACATATTTTTCTTCCTGCATCATCCGTCTGTTCCTACTGCCAAGGACAAGAGACAAGAGGAGTCTAAACAAGAGATAACCACGCAGCATCGCCATAGAGACCTTACGGGAAGTATTCCCCCACCTAAGGACAGCCAAGAGGAGGAGTCTTCAACCTCATCATCAGGGACCGCCTCTGATCTCCTACTTTCTCCACCCTTCCGAGAGGAGGAGTCTTTACCTCCCTCACCAGCACCTACCTCCAACCCCCAGACTCCATCCAGGTCCCCCTCCTCGTTACTCACACTCTCCCCATCCTCCCCCCACCTGGAGTTCACTGACCACATGAAAGACCTGGCCACTGCTGGAACCAAACTCACTCCTCGCCACACTCCCCGACGTACAGCCCTACCAGCCAGTTTTGACACAATCGGCAAAGTTAAAGCGCCCTGCCCAAAGGGCGCTTTAGGGCCAAAATACATCTCTGATCTGCTGGTACCTTATGAACCATCCCGACCCCTTAAGTCGTCTAGGACCGGTCTACTTTCTGTTCCCAGAGTCGGAACTAAACATGGAGAAGCAGCGTTCAGTTTTTCTGCTCCACATATCTGGAACAAAGTCCCAGAAAGCTGCAGGTCTGCTGAGACCCTCAGCTCCTTTAAATCAAGATTGAATACTTTTCTGTTTGCTGCTGCCTTTAATTGAACCAGATTTGAGGATATTAATCAATTTTCTGCATTTCTGTATTTTACTACTGCATTTTTAGTGTTTTAATGACTGTTTTTAATGTTTCAATGAATGTTCTTAATTGTTTTTAAATCTCCTTTTCTTTTGCCTTATGTTTGATGCTTTAAATGGTTTTATGTGAAGCATTTTGAATTGCCTTGTTGTTGAAATGTGCTATACAAATAAACTTGCCTTGCCTTGCTTTAAAAAAAGGTAAAATAAAAACTAAAAAAGTTGGGTATTTTTTACTAGTCAATGCATTTTCTTATATTGTTTAATGATTTGAAATCCTGTTATGTGTCTTTTGTGTCTGAAAACTAGAGAGTCATTTCTAAGGATCATATAGGGGTCAAACCCAGCATATTTTCATGGATCGGTAATGGCTTATATAAAGCCTGCTTTGTGTTACTTTTCCTCTACTGCTGTTCAGCAAGGAAACACTGCCTGCGGAAACAAAAGAAGGAAATTTAAAAAAAACAACAACATATTGTTGCCTAGAAAGATGAGTAAGATGCAACCTCATATTAGCTTTAGCTGAACTTCATGTATTTTTATACAGAGGATACAGGGAAAGACTCTGAACTTCGTCCCACATCACCAACGACCTTCCAACAACCTTCAGGACACAACTCCCTGAAGCCGCCTCCACAATGAAGGTTTTGAGAATCGCCCACTAGGATTCCATGTTCAAAATGATGTCTGTGTGTTTCAGTTTGACTAAATCATGACTCTGAGAAATGATGTTTTGTTTGTGGTAAGTTGTATTACTTTTAAAATTCCGATTTTTTTGCAACTCTTAATATCTTCTGAATAGTGAGTGACAACAGTATTAGAGAAGATGTGTTACCTGTGCTACCTCAACAGGTATCATTTACATACTGAGCTGTATATGCTCTCTCTTTAACAATTAATGCAACAGTAGACAAACAAACATAAACTATTGATTAGTCTTGATGTCATCAGAAGAAGATTCCGTAGCTACTGTGATATGGTATCCTGGTTGGCAGGACAACCAGGTGTGTGCAACAAATTAAATACATAGTAACACATGTCACATTATCAGATCTGTTCAGCCGCTCTGATCATCCACAAAGGCATTTCTTGACTTCACTATTTCTTGACAAACAAGTTTATCCATCCACCCAGCACTTCTGTGCTGTTGTTATTATAGCGCAATTGTACCATATCTGGCAACTTCACTATGTCACTGTGATGTGACAAGAAAAGTTGAGTTGAGCTCCCAGGAAGGCTGCCTTAAAAAGGAGGAATACATGTTCAATATATGAATCAGGCTTAAATAGACACAAAGCGTATAGTCAAAAGTTGACAGAATGTATTCTAAATAATCATATTAATGCAAGTGTGTAGTACGTAGAATTATGAAGTGATTTAACAAATGTAAAACTGATAATAATAATGTATGTGTATCTGAGTAAAGTGAAGTCTGTGTGTGTGTGGAAAGAGCTGATGTAAGAAGGGTGGGGGCCTTAAAGGCTGAGATCATAACAGATGTTGGAGTGTTGTCCGAGCACATACACGGGTGTAACCTGACACACACTCAGAGCATTGAGGAAGTGAGAGCACCCACACAGGGAAGTTAGGTAGTTTCCAGAACACACACACACACAGAAAGATGGGTGTTGTTCGCAGCACATACACATAATCAATGATGTCATGATAATCATGTGCTGAGTTAGGAAGTGTTGGGGAGGGGGGGGAGAGAGAGCCCAAAAGTGTTATAAAAAGAGAGACTTGCAAAGAGCAAGACGGGATTCATCGCGGGACGCTGACCAAGTGCTCCATGGAGAAACACTGGACCTCGTTCGACAGCAGCATCGGAGGACTTCGTCTCTGTTCACGGAAAGAAGACAGCTGTTCGTGGACAAAGATTGAAAGACGGCGATTTTCCTCTCCCCCCTGTTTGACTTTAACAACCGGACAACAGATGGACGCAGCCGCCCTAAAGACTTTGCACTGAGCCTGAGGGATCGCTGAACGGACTTCGTTGGCCGCGCAGGAGGAGCCGAAGGTCAGGCCAGACCTTCGCTCCTAAAAACCCCAAAAGGACTTTTTATTACATCGTGAATCCAGCTCCACCGAGCCGCCTTGGCATCGAAAATGAATGAGTATAATCTAAGAAGAAATTGTAACCTGATCGAATCAAGTATAGTATTATTTTATGTGAGCTGTAGCTGTGCCCCTGCTAATATATCCTGCAATAAATATCTAATCTGCATTTAAAGTAAATTTCTCAAGAGAATTCATTTGCCTAAGTATCCAGAAGAGGAAAGCTGCCATAACTGATGCGACTGGTAGAAGCGCCCGGCCAGGGTGGCCCCTCGGCCGAGTGCACATTACCAGAGGAAGCAGGGTAGACGTCAGGAGTAACGGTAGTTAGCAGAGCCAGGTGAGTTTCCTCACAGAACACCAGCTCGCCAATCTTTTAATAGAGAGCTGAGTCAGTAGGTAGCCCCATATCGGGCCAGAGAACCCCCGGATCTAACAGATGATAAGACTTAAAAAAGCATGCCAATTCTTGATTCATGGTGAGGATGCAGTGACCTATGATCACCAAATTCTCATCAGTTTATCCTTGATTCCAGGTGGACGTTTGTGCCAAATTTGAAGAATTTCCGTCAATGCCCTCCTGAGACATCTGGAAGACGGTCGGACAACCCAAAAACATAAAACAATGTTTGTTCACATCAGAAAGTAGATCCAGGGAGAACTTCCTTACTTGCACAACAAATGCAAATTGAGTTTACTCCTATCAGAAACAAAACTTTCTATAAATAACACAAACACACACGATACCTGTCTTTAGATGAGTCTTTGATCTTGGTTTTCATCTTTCTCTCCCTTGTCTCTCTCATTTCTCTCCCGTCTATCAACTGTAGCCCCGGTGTCCTGTGGCTCCACAGAGCCAGTGTTTCCTCCTGATGACACCACCCACACCCAGCATGGAGGGAATGTGGACGTGGGTGCTGCAGTCACACTGATGTGTCGGGGCCCTGAGGACAGCTGGCTATTGTGCCAGTAGGGCTCCACATACAGTTTGGATGAACACACACACACCAACAAGGCTAATCTTTTTCTTCTTAGAGACACAATGTTCCTCGTTCTGCTGCATCCGCTGTGACCGAGTCTTTATCTCACCACACCCGGTACTGAACCTGACTTGTACTCCACCCGTTCACAAAAAAACATCTCAAACTGATCTGATGTTCTTTGTGTAACAGACAGAATAGTAGGTGCCTGACATCTGGTCAGCATCAATTATTCATGATGATACTTTACAACGCTTATAAGCCAGCCACACACACATGCAGAGCAGTGTCAAGCAGAGGGTGTAGAGTTAGTGTTGGTAGACCGAGAACTACTCGTCCCCTCTCACCTTCTGTCACCTCAATCTACTACTGCTTCCCCCATCACATCACTACCCTCCTCCCTCTACCTTCCTACATCCCCAAATTGTTGCCTACTGTCTTGCATCACAGCAGAGAGGAAGAACCTCATCTCTATTCTGGAGGCTACTTGGAGTAAAGGAGGGGAGGGAGGGAGGGAGTGGTGGGAGTACATGGAGTTGAATGTACAGCCCAGTCTCATGGAAGTTTGTGACATAGTCACGAAATGCGATCTATTGGTTCGTCTCCAGGGACACAAATTGTCTGCTTTTTTCGTGTCACTCAGTACGAAAATAATGCCAATGGAAATTCAATTAGGAGCGTTATTCATGGTGGACACATGAATTAAATGCACAAATGCACGTTGTTGCTTTGAAGAAAACCTTGTAATAGTTCTACACTCACTGATCGAACAAGACTGTTTTAGATCCGAAGGAGAAGTGGATAACGTGCCCGTACTCTGCCATATTTAAGCCTCAGAAAGAAGCAGCACATTCTTCAGAGGAAGAGAAGGACAAATTATCTTCCCAATCAAGTCGACATTTGTCGGTCGTAAGGAGAAAAATTCCCGTAACTTAAGAAGAATTCCCGCTGCCACCGAACAAGTGACGCTCCAGATCCCGAATTCAAAAACAGAAATTCAAAGAAACACATCGACTGCTATGAAGTCATCTCAGAGTAAGAGGCTTGTGGATGGGCAGAGATAGGTCATAGTGTGTTTGTTACCTTGTTTTGTGTTGTTCTAAGCTTACTGTAATGTTAACGTGCTATTGTGTATGTTTACGGACCACAGAGTTCCGTGCTGTGTAGAAACTACTGTTGTATTCCATGCTGCTGTAATAGTGTTGTGGTTAGATTAGTCACCGCGAGTAAGGTTGGTAACTGTAACTTCATCAGTTAAAAGACCAGAACCACAGTTGCCTTGTTTTGAGTGTTCACTTCTTTATTTTTCGTCTTTTTCTTTTTTACTTCTGGTTGTTCAATTATATTTTCTTTGCAAGGATAATAGTGTATTATGATTTCTATGGTTGTGATACTTTTTATAATGTATTATAATCCCTCTTATAATGCATTCATGTGATTATAAATTACTCTCATCGCTCAGTGTTTGTGTTATGTACAGTAAGAAATTAATTTTACAATTGACAATTGTGTTAAATGGTAAATGGACTGTACTTGTGTAGCGCTTCTCTAGTCTTCCGACTACTCACTATGCTTTAACACTGCATGTCATCATTTACCCATTCCTACACTGATGACAGGGGCTACCATGCAAGGTGCCACCTACCCATCACTCTAACTAACCATTCACACCCAATCAACCTACATGGGTGACATCATCTCTGAGTTCCAATACCCA